AGCAGTGATAAAGATGAATTAATGACAGAAATACTACACAAAATTCCTAAAATCAAAAACTTTATTAACCTAATATATAACCTTACGGATAAGGGCGTAAGTTCCCACATAGCATGGTTAGTAGCACAAACGTTTTCGTAACGGTTTTTTGAAAAAACGTTTGTGCTACTAACCATGCGCTATGTGGGTTGTGATTATTTATTATTTATTATTTATTTAATTGTCACTGCGCAGGCATTGTATTGTATTGATATTTTATTGTATTATGTAAAACAATATATATATATATATATATATATATATACACCCAGCAAACGATTCCTGACTGCGCAGACCTGGCAACAGAAATTGTGTGCAGAAACGCTACAATACGGAAACATGCTTTGTGTGCTGCCAAAGCTGTCAACACACAGACACAAAGGACGCAACATAGTTACCAAAACTCACCAAAACCATATCCTACTGAGGACACAGATAGATATGGATTTGGTCTGGCGGTTGGCGACAAAATCGCGACAAATGACAAACAAATTGTTTGCTGGGTATATATATATGTGTGTATGTGTGTGTGTGTGTGTGTGTGTGTGGTGTGTAGAAATGCTACAAATAAGTATACACAGAAAAAAATGGTGTTGCTTTAATTAAAGTCGACGTCACGAGCTGCCACAAAAATAAATAATTCATTCAATTGCATATGTGATTGATTTAATATCTAGATTCTTAAAGTTATTTGCTGTGTATAGTTCAATAATATTAATATTGCATTAACAAGATATAATTCAATTAAACTGATGCTGGTGATTCAACATCATTTTTTTCGGTGTATTATTATTGTTACAGTTCAAAAGTCATTTTCGCGTAGCAAGAATAATAGCTTATAAAATAATCGATATTTACGCAATTTCAAAAACTTCTATTTTTCTGATAGAACTCACGGAGGTAGTAAACCTACTTCCGCTGAATTGAACATATTGTCATTTTTGTGATATATTTCAGCATTAACGAGAGTATCTCATCGTTGACTTTGAAGCAAATGCTTAATTTCTCTTATTGTTCTATGATGAAATTCGTAAATATCTACAAAAGTATTGCACTTTGTGGCAGTAGAACTGTAACTTGTGGTTAGCTGGAAGTGCAACTTTCAGTAAACTATGGCTGCTTTCCTTTTAGGCTTAGACCATATATACTTATAGACACGGCCTGTAGATATGAATCCACGAGTCGAGGTGAAGCAAAGATAATATCATCTACGTGACGTCATATGTGGACATTTCAGCAATTGTTCGGCTAAACGCAGCCTCGTAGATGATATATCTTATCTTCAAGGCAGTTATCTGAAGCCGTCTATAAACGCGCCTTTGCTTTGCCCACATGTGACGTCATGTAGAT